TCTCTCTCTCTCTCTCTCTCTCTCTCTCTCTCTCTCTCTCTCTCTCTCTCTCTCTCTCTCTCTCTCTCTCTCTCTCTCTCTCTTTCTCTCTTGTTTGGTCTGCACCCTTTCGTTTTATGTATCCGGTTTCGTCCATCTTATATTTTGTTGTTTTTTTTTTCAAGGTTGTTGTTTTTTTTTTTTAGTCGAAGGTGCAGACATTGGGATTCAGCTTGTTTGTTTTTAATTGTTGAAGGTTGTTGATTTCTTTTTCTTGTTGTTTTGTTGTGTATTTCTGCTTTGTGTGTCAATTTTTGTTTTTTCTTTGGTGTCCAGGTTCTATCTGCAGTTTCTGATTCTACATTTTCAGCAGTTCCTTTGCATTCTACTGTCGCTCTCTCTCCGATTCTGTTTCCTGCACCTGTTTCCTCTCCGGTTTACGACATCGTCTTTTTGTAGTGCCGACGTTTTAGCATGCCACGCCAGAATGGTAAGGATCCGGCGGACTCGTCCAATGCCGCCAGACAAGGTCACAACACGAAGAGTTTCGACTCGCCGTTCAAGGTTGATCCGACAACTGACGGCAAGAGAGACGACCCCGTCTGGCATTTCATCGCACGAGGTCGTTATTTGGATGGGTCCATTGCGGAGGGTAGAAAGAGTGGTCGTCGCTGCATGTGCAGGTTGTGTGGCCATTCGATGTGTGGGGGCGCTAAGGCCGCCAAGGAACACTTCTCAAAGAGCGAGAAGTTACGATGTGAGGTGGCCACTCCTGCAATGTGGTATGCCATCTGGTCAAAGGACATGACAAAATGTCCGAAGGAGTTCGTTTCGACTATCGAGGCATTGCAGAGCTTATCTCACGGTCATCCGAACTTCCAGTGCCCACCGCTACGATACCCCAAGGACTCAGTGCCGCCCCTCGATTCCGCCACCGCCCCCTCAGAGACGGTGCCTTCGTCCAGTCCAGCCATTCGAGTTACAGTGCCGCGTCGAACGCCACCACGTCCACCAGCTCCAGCGTCTGCACCACTGACAGGGACACAAGGTGCAGGTGGTTTACACGTCGGTCGGTCCGTGCCGACCAATGAGGCCCCTCATGTTCGAGGGGGTGGGGGCTGTGCGGCGTTCCGCGAACACGGCACACGTGCTTTTGTTGAGAGTCGCACGTAGGGGGGGGGTGTTGGCACTTCGGCTGGACGGGCTACCACTATTGCGGCCCCGTGCACACTTGCCCTTGTTTTTAACAGTGGCAGACAACGACATGCTGCACGGGCTACCAGTATTGCGGCCCCGGCCACAACTGATCGTGGTCCGTCGGACCACCCTTGGTTGCTGCCTCCACCGTCACGAGTGGCACAGGGTGTGGCCGCTGACCACATTGCTACGACGGGCAGACCAGAGCCTTCACGCGTGGCTGCAGATGCTCGACAGCCTGCTTCCCTAAGTTYCCTTCCTYGAGTTGGGGAACAGGCAATGCCCGGATTGGGTGCTTCTGAGCTYCCCATTCCRGTGTCTGATTCGTCGCCAACCCCACTTCCACCGACGACAGATGCTGCTGCAGCTGCTCCACCTGTACTTACCGGTTCATTGGATCCTTTGTACCGCATGMGCGACATTGCAGCGGCCYAGAGCGCGGCACCTGAGAGTCCTGGTGGGTTGTTGGAYGTCGRGATCCTTGGCGGGCGAGCCACGACGGGACGTGGYCGTGGCACCTTTCGCCAACAGGCCGTCACGTCGTATTATTCGGACACTTTGGAGCAYGCGTGGCATTTGCAGATCATGCGCTTCATCATCGAGAGTGGGATGGAGTTCAACTGCGTTAAGCTTGAAAGCTTCAAACGCATGTTCGCGATGATCATCCCGCCGGGGGTTCCAGGGGCGCCCACGCCCAAAGTACCCACGTACCACATGGTGCGCACATCCCTTTTGGATGAGTTGGATGCAGAGGCCCAAAAGTGTGTTCGGCCACTCCTTGACACGGCGAGAGACTTTGTTTGCACAATCATGACCGACGGTTGGACCAACATTAGGGGTCAGACATTGTGCAACTACCTTGTTGGGACAAATTTGGGGGTAGCTTATGTGGCCACCGACGTCATGCACGGAAAAAAGGGCGCCACTGCCCTTGTGACCGCATGGCTGAAGAGGGTAAAGTCCATGGACGTGGACTTGAGCGACATCACAGCGTTCGTGATGGACTCCGCCGGGGTAAACGTTGCAGCGATGGAGGTTTTCCAGAAGGACGAGAGCGTCAAACACATCTTCTGGATTCCATGCGTCACTCATGTGATGGACCTCATTCTCGAGGACATCGGCGGGATTGATTGGGTGGCCACCCGCATCGCGCAGGCGAGGTTGGTGACGAGGTTCTTCAAGCGCCATGGCCACGCACGAGAGGTTTTGAAGTTCTTCTCGACGAAGACCCTTTTCCTGCCGGCGGAGACTCGATTCGGCACTAACGTCATCATGATGACGAGGCTTGTGGACCTGCGGGGAGAGTTCACCCAGCTTGTTGGCAACGACCGGTGGCGTGAGACTGTCTCGTCGACAAGCAAGATCCGCAACGACGCCGCAGAGGTCACTGCGTGTATCGGGTCTCCTCCATGGTGGGAGGATTTGAGAGTTTTGTGAAAGATGTTGGAGCCTATCATGGAGATGTTGAAGCTAGTCGATAGCGACACACGTCAGATACGCAAGATTTTGTGTTGTTACGAGGTTATGATCGCATATTGCTTGTCTGCGTGTCGCGACCTCGATCGGGAGCAGCAGGACGCTATTTTGGAGGTGTTCGACAGGCGGCGCACCATTTTCCGGACACCCGCCCACACAGCAGCCATGTTGCTGGATCTCGAGTTCCGAGACCCGACGCTGAATGACGACGAGGAGGTGCGACAGGGATTGATCGAAGCCCTGGTCCAGTTCGGCTATCCAGAGGGATCGGTGCAGCAGGAGGAGGTCCTTGGGGCGGTATTCAAGTTCCATACAAAGGAGCCTCCTTTCGATGATGTCAACATGAGGCGATCGTTGGCATGCTACAGCCACCCTGCCAATTTTTGGTCCGCGAAGAGTGCGAAGTACCCTCACACGGACATCTTTGCTGTTAGGATCCTTTGCATCTGGGCGACTGCATCACCATGCGAGAAAGCATGGTCTCGATGGAGCTTCATTCATTCGAAATCACACAACAGGTTGGAGGTTGCTCGGGCCGAGAAGCTCGTGCGGTGCCACTGGAACCTCAGGCTCATTGATAGACCGTCATTGTGTGACGATGCTCCTGCTGACAGACCCAATTTTTCCGGGAATTGGGTGCATTACTGGCAGGCGGTGGAGGAGGAGGTGGCAGTGGACCAGCAGCTCGTCAGAGGTAGTGGTGCACTGGCGAGGGTGACCGAGGAGGAGTTGGCTCACGCCAGAGAGAGGATGCGGATCGTTTCCCGCATGGGAGCCATGYGYCGGGTGGCRGAGTCCGACAGGAGGCGACGYAGGGGYGGAGCAGGTGGACGTGGSAGGCGTGGGCGAGCAGGTGTCGGAGGGAYGAGGCGTGGTGGCAGGACTGCTGCATCTGGTACTCRTCGACAGCGGGCGGATGGTTTCATCCGCAAGGCCCGCCARCGTTGGGACGAGGGAGACTTCTTGTTCGACAGCTCATCCAGCGACGACGAGGATTTCTTTGCATTGGGGACGCCCGCGCCTACGGACGATGAGAGAGGCGACGACGACGACAGAGGTGATGGCGGAGGTGGTGGCGGAGGAGGTGGCGGAGGAGGTGGCGGAGGAGGTGGCAGAAGAGGTGGTGGCGGCCGAGGAGGTGGCGGAGGCGACGACATCGGTGCCAGAAGAGGAGGCGGAGGAGGTGGCGGAGGAGGTGGCGGAGGAGGTGGCGGAGGCGACGACAGAGGTGCCGGAGGAGGAGGCGGAGGAGG